CAAAACTACAAAAAAAAAATTAGTATCAGAAAAAACAAAGAAAACCGATAGCATATTATTTCCAAGTCTTAAGTCCAAATCCCATCTGGTACTAAATTCAAAATCTACGAAAAAGAGAAGAAAATTAGTATCAGAAAAAAAAAGAAGATAAGCAAATAAAAATTAATACTTATAGTGTATCCGTTTCCAGTCTCAAGTTCAAATCCCCATTCTGATGCTAAAAATAAAACCTATAAAAAAGAAAAAAAGTTAATATAGTTGCACCCCTCTAAGTGCACACCCCTAAGTGCAAGTACTATGTAAAACCTCTCTAAATACACAATACGGTTTGGCCCCAATATATAAAAACCCTATGTATTTATTCTTGATAAGTGCAAACCTCCTCTAAATACAAAATTTTAACTTTTTTTACTATGATCCTGATAGGATGCACTTAGGGAGATGTGATTGTATCAGAAAAAGAAAAAATCAAAAAAAAACCAAATAGAAACTAATACTAAACCTTATAGCATACCAGTTCCCAATCTCAAGTCCAAATCCCGATCTGGTGCTAAATATAAAAAAAAAAACAAAGTTAGTACCAGAAAAAGAAAAAATCCAAAAAAACGAATAGAAGTTTATACTTATAATGCACCAACTTCCAGTTTTAAGTCCAAATTCTGATCCTGATGCTAAAAATAAGATCTACAAAAAAAAAAAGAAAATTAATACTAGAAAAAAAAAACCACAATAAAACTTTATACTTATCTTACGGCATACTAGTTTTTAGTTTCAAACCCAAATCCTATTTTGATGTTAAGTACAAGACCTACTGTTCTAAAGTATCAGGAATTGAATTGTCACTTTTGCTTTTTAGTCTTTCTTTATTATACAAACAATTTCATCAAAAAAATCCTGAAAATATAATTGGCTAACTTCGCTGAATATTCTAGTATCAAAAAAAAAAGAAGCCAGTACAGAAAAAAATCAAAGAAAATGAATAGAAAGTTCATACTTACAATATACCAACTAGTCTCAAGTTCAAATTCTTGTCCCGGTGCTAAATATAAGACCTATAAAAAAAAAAAACTTAGTACTAGGAAAAAAAAAACAAAAAAGATGAATGAAAA